CAGTCGTATTTTTGCTACATTTCAACATGACAAACTGCAGCTTATATTCAGGTGCAGCTTTTATGTGGACAAAATTGATTTCTTTTCCAATTTTGGTGTTGCGGCTTATACAGATATGCACCTTAGAGTCCAGAAAGTACAGTAGGTTACAGGCATTATTATCATACTAAGCATCCACTCGGACGGCCTATCTTGCGTATAGCGCCCCCTACTGATCAGGTGGAATTTGCGTCACTGACTCCAGGAGGGTGGTCCCAGGGCTCTCAGACTTTGTATACACACAAACACACACACACACACACACACACACACACACACACTGCTGGAGAGCTTTGTCAAAGTATGTGGAGGTCTTAACTACAAACAACAATTTCACTCATCTCAAGCATATTGTCTGTGAAATAATATTACTTGTGTATGTAACTAGAAAGCATGTACTAGTTTACTTTACTCCATTATAGGAATGACTTTTATTACAGTCAGCGTAGTAAATGTACTTTAATTTACAGTTCAAAGTACTTAAAAATCTAACTTCAACCACTTCAGTATTGTAGTAACATTAAGGTGAATGACTACAAAGCTTAGAAATCTGTACTGATTCTGACCCCAACATAATTAATTCTCCGCTACGCAGGCTTTAGAAGTGTTAATAATTAAAATTCCTCTTGATTCGCTTTTACCATTTCTGAGAATATTACCATCTCAACCCACACAACACCCCCTGCTACTCCAAAGAGGAATTTCATTGTGAACTGTGCCAAAAGCTGTTCTTTTCAGCAAAACGAGCCTGGTTGTGCCATGTACAAGCTATGACTCAAACATTCAGGAATTTGACCACCGTTTTTGAAATAAAAGAAGGATTTTGAGATGTACTTTTAAATTCTAGAGTCCAATCTTTTTAAAAGTACCTAAAATTATATTGATTCATGAATACATTTTTGTTTAACGCAATTATCAGACCACAACATGCTGTCTTCAACTTATTAGAAAACATTTTAGCTTTTACATAGATATAATAGAGGGCCCGTATCCTCTTCTTCATTGAAAGAGCTGATCTAAAGATGTGAAAGAGGCCATAACACACAGTACATGCATGTGAAGACTAGTGATAGAACCAAACTGTTTTAAGAGCGGGTAAGTATTTTATTATATAGTTCATTTAATTTGGTTTTAAAGTTAGGTACCCCAGCTTTAGACCCAATGCTCATTTGATATTTATCTACAGAATCCAATCAAGGCGATGAAATGCGAGTGTGGAATTGTGTGAGCTCTAATTTGAAATATATAATAACTCCAATCTTTGTGCTTCTTCTCATTATGCCACAAGACGCTCTGTTAATGTGGAGTCTCTTCTTGACCTTCGCAGCAGTGGGGCTGGACCTCAGCTCTCACTCAGCGAGCTTTATCTGCCCCTGCCAGACGACTGGACGCTCCACAGGGAAAAGGATATTACAATGTGAGTAGTGACTGCTTCAGCCCAGAATATTGCCCTTTTTTTTTGGCTCCCCCAAATTATGGAATCACTTTGTGTGGCTTCCTAATGTAGGATGAAGACAATGTACTGTATTCTGTAGATTTCATCCGTCAGACACATTTCTGTTGGAAAGACAGAATAATTGTCATTTGGATAATTGTTATTGACACTCTTCCCAAAATATACATAGATAGATGGTTATAGAAGTCATTCAAAGCACTATCAGAGGTGGGGCCAGACTAAAAATTCCATTTACAGCTCCCAAAGAGCATTAAATAGACTGTTTCTCTTTGTGATAGAGAGGCAAACTGGACAGAAACTGAAAGAGCCACTATATTATTCATTCTGGGCTCGAATATATAGATCATGTAATGTGTTCATTAAAATAATTGTATTTAGTTACTTTTTTTGTTACTTATCTCATGTATTGATATCCATTTCCATATGCTGACCCCCATATAGTCAGATTCTACATAGTTTGGAACATTTCTGGCATAATGACAGAACAGAGCATGGTTTAATCCAAGTTCAGTCCTGGCTTTGTATGTACAGTATGATCATGTGTCTTTCAACCTCTAACTACAACTATGGTGTTGGATACAGTGCCAGACGTGTCTCCCTGCTTAAGCCAAAACCTGTCCAGGCTGGCCTGTTTGCTAGAGAGCATTTGGATTATCCAGAAGAGGATTGGGAGAATGGTCAGGGTAACCAAAATAGTTGTTTGTTTTTTTTTGTTTTTTTTAAACCAAACTTGTCTTGTTTGGATGAGAAATAATTGCATCATACTCTGCATCCTACTGTGAAGCATAGGGGTGGAAACAACCCAAAACAGGTTTTTTTCTGAAAAGGGACCAGAACGATTCATCCTTGTAAGGGTGAGAATAAATGGGGCCATGTATCGTTTTGATTTTGAAATCCTCCTTCCATCAGAAAGGACATTAAGAGGAAACATGGATTGGTCTTTCAGCATGACAAATACCAGCAACAGTGTCTGAAATCCTTGTGAAGAATTACCTAAAATATTTCTCCTCCACCTGTGTCCTCCACAACAAAGGGTATACAACAAAGTATTGATTTGGACTTTTGTTATTGACAACATACTTATTTTCCACCATAATTTGCAAATAGATTCTTTACCGACGGTGGCTGAGTGGATAGCACTCTCGCCTCTCAGCAAGAAGGTCATGGGTTCGAATCCCGGTCTGAACAGGGTCTTTCTGTGCTTGCATAGGTTTCCTCCGGGTACTCCGGTTTCCCCTATCACTAAAAACATGCACACTAGGTTAAATCCTCCTGCTCCGGTAGTTCTGACCAACCCAAGCATCAACATCTGGAGATGCATTCCTGGGCGCTGTTACTACGGCAACCACTGCTCCTGACGTAAGCCTTCGTGGCATCATGATGGGTCAAATGCAGAGGATGAATTGCCCTACGGGGATCAATAAAGTGCACCTTTACCTTTACTTTAAACGTGAGGAAGTTTTGTTCTCTCTCATTTTGTCTCTCATTGTTGAGGTATACCAATGGTGAAAATATCAAGCATCCCTCATCTTTTTAAGTGGTAGGACATAGGGGATTCCATTTCACTGTCCATTAATGTCAGCAAAATTCTCATTTTTTACAAAAACATTGCCAACATTCGACAACAACAGCTGCAACAGCCATATCTGACAGCGTTTCAACATCCCACCAAAGCTTCTCCACTGTAATATTTATTTCAATCGCTGGAAAAAAGCAGTAGAAATCAAATGTTTTCAGCAGGGAATAGCTGAAAGGGCAATCTTGCCACTCATGGGCGAAATAAAGAGTGAGCTCTCAACAGCTTATTGGACAAATAGAAGATTGTTGAGCACTTGAACGATACAGTTTCATCTTTAAAAGGTCTCTGAGTCGTGTTTGTCAGATAAAGCCGGCCCAAATCAGTGGCAGCCGGTGCTATTGTAGTGGGATATGGGACACCGATCCTTTTGGCTGCTCCTTTGTTGCAGATTAAGACAAAGTGCAGAGCCAGACAGGAGCCACCTATAGCCAGAAAATACACCGCAAGACTTTTGGAACATTCCGGAAAGGATTTCAGCACCGCCCCCACCTTTTAACCTTGTTTTTAATTGCACTCTTTCTCCTGTCCCAAGGCATGCTCACATTTTGGAGAGCTTTTTCTCTACAGCGATCGGTAATTGCTCTTGAATTGTGATCGAAATCGCAGGGGTTTGGAACGGGCCAGGCGAGTTATGTGAGGTCGGTAATTGAGATGTTATCAGCAACCAGGAGGACGCGCTCGGGGGATCAGGCGGGACGGCTATGTCCTCCCTGAATTTGCTGTTGAAAGGTTGGAATTGAGGTAAACAATGATGACATCACTCAAGGCAATTTTTATGCCTCACCAAGGTAAAAATAAAGGTGCATTAGTCAGCAGAGTTAGAGCCATCTAGCAGAACAGAGCCGGTGAAGTCAGTTTCCATGGTTAGAACAGACAGAAAGTATAACATTTTTGACTATATGCTTCTCCTTTGGTGTCTTACTCTTTGGGCTGCACAATGCGTGGCAAATGTCCATTTCCATATCAAAGGAAGTGATTGTGAGGCATTGTATTGCACTGTCAACTCAAGAATGAATGCTTGATGAGGGCAAATCTACTTTAGAAGCTCCGCTCTCGTCTGGCCTTTGATGTTGTATCTCTGACCACTCTATCGGTGCCCTTTAGATTCTGAAGATTTGCTGCAAATGCAATGAAATACCTAAAAAGAAAAACTGTATGGCATAGACGCAAATGGAAAAATAGTTTAGTGTTGGACCTAAAATGTAAAAACAATATATACTTTTTTTAATACAGTACATATCTGATACAACTCAGATATGTACTGTATTTTAATTTTTTTTTTTTTATCATTATTCTACAGCCCTTGAACTATGCATTACATTACATATAACATAATGCATGTCTTACACACCGCCCAAATGTGAGAGTGACCAAATGCTGTCTGTCTGCTCGCTTGCCTTTTTGTTTGTTTTTTTGTTTTTTTGTATATATGTATGTCTGTGAACAAAAACACATGGGAGAATACATATTTCTGAATAACATTCTGGAAGGAATGGAAACTCTGTACGTGCTCTTGCCATTTAAAATTATGATTTGTAGTGGAGGTCGCCAGTTTGGTATATGCCTATTTTAGAGGTCCTGTCTGGAAAGTTTTAGAAACTGCTCATTAAGATTTGGATGTTTGTGTCTCTACACCTTTTCATCGCCTGCATTACAACACTGAAATGTCCCCATTGTGACAAATCCTATTCTAATTCACCCAGCCTCTTCAAAAGATTACCCTTTTATCTTACTTTTCCCTCTTCCCACTAAATACAACATTACATAAAGTCCGGTCTCTGGTGGTCACGAAACCGTGACCGTGCTCATATTACTCCACAGTTGGCACCTTCACCTCCATGGTCCGGCTCTATTGTAAAGAGAATAATACATCTTCTTATGTGTGGCCCCTGTGTGTGAGCAAAAGTGTTCCGGGCCGGTGCTCACCTTGATTGCAAGTTTTCCCGGTGAAGCCTGCGTGGCACTTGCACTTGTCTGGTCCCACACATTCTCCGTGCTTGCATCCCGCCTGGCACACGGCTGGAAACACACAGGGTCCAAAGGGAACACAGACAAAAAGGTGAAATCAGCAAATGTAGTCATAACAGTAGCACTTAATCCTAAACAGGCCGTGTGGCTGCAGGTCTTCATTCCAACAAAGGGCACACCAGACTCCATCTATGTCAAGGCTTCAGGTTAAGACTTGGTTCACTTGAGGTCTAATGTACAACCGCTTGGTTGGAATGAAAACCTGCTGCTTGCACTCGGCTAATTTAGGACTGGTCTGTGGACCACAGAGTTAAGGTATTCATGAAATACCAGTTTATTAATCCAATACCATCTTTTGTTCATTTGTTCATTATAAAAATAAGCTTTCCTTTGTACTTAATTAATACTGTAAATGTTTCCAAAATCCAAATAACATTGCAAGTACTGATTAAAGGTATTTAGGCCTTCTCGTTTTCCACAGCACAATTCTATTTTCCTTAAGATCCTCTCCTGTCTTTAGCCTAGTGTTAGGCCGGTCCTCTAATAGTCTCACTAATTCTCCCGAAATACCTTTAAGGTAATTGTCAATTTATTTATGTTTCAATATGTAAATTCAAGTTACATGAAGTTAAAGAGCATTAGCAATAGGGAGGTGGCTCAAAGACATGGACTAACTTATACAGAGCGGTAGATATCCAGCATATTTGTAACAAGTTTGTTAAAGAAAGCATCCTCTTTATTTGGTACAGCAAGGTCACAGAAAGTGCTTTGCAATTTTTTTTTTTTTCTATGCATTTCCCTATTTTTCTATCTCATCTGAGAGGATATTTTTAAACATATACAGTACATCCACAGTGAGACAAGCAAGACCATCAGACTTTTCTGCTCAAACGCCTGAAATTGAATACCTTAAAAGGGTCCAGAAAAGCGCTGTCTACATATGAAGTTCCCTTTAAATAAGATGTGCCGATTTAGTTTAACTCTACAGAGCAATAAAATGGCAAAGTTGCAGATCCCAACCGTTACACAGCACAACTACAAATGCTAAAATATGCTGATATTGAATTCCTATGAAACTCGATATGCGAATGAGATGAGAGCAGAGTGTATTTGGCTGCCGGGGCATTCCCCATTTGCATCAAAACATATTCTGGTGTAGAGCCCTTGGGCAAAACATTCTTTTGTGCGCTGTTTGCATTTTCTGTGAGCTCCTATTGGACAATGGAGAGAACACCTGCAGAGAATGTTTGTGGGAGTCTGCCCCAAGTTTTGAGAATCATTTTCCTTTCTACACACGCTTCAAATATTCCTTCATTTATTTCAGCTGAGACCGATGCCTCATTCCTGAAGACGCTCTTGCCCTCTCTGTGGGACATGCTGATTATCACTGACGAATGCTAATGTGGAGTCGTTTTGGGCTAAGTACATTATAGATTTCCCTAAATTACACTGGTGATAAGCTTAGGGGAACTTTTCTCGCCCTTGCTTGGGCTGAATTATTGAAAGTCCTTACAATACAAATGAACAATCCCACGTTTTAGCGCTAAGTAAAAGTCATTTGTCTGATTGTTTCTTCCAAACTGCTGATAAACTTTGGAACGCAGCCTAAAAGTGGAGAATTGCCCTCTTTAGATTTGCCCTGAAGCGATTAACAATTTGAGGAAAGGTGTCAGGCTTTTCCTTGGTTCACAGCTCAGTGTTAAGCGTGTCGGACGGCGGCCAACTGTTACTAATATTTATTAAAAGCTTCGTTAGTTCAGTCATAATACGGCGCAATCACACAACTTAATTAACTGAGAAAGAGCTATGTTTAAGAGGCATGTGTTGAGAAAAAGGCAGACAATCACACCAGATAATTTCTGTGTATACGAGAGCAGTGTACGAGATGATGAGGAATTGTATTTATAGTATGTGCAGAAACAGTTACAGTGGCTGGGGTTATAGGGCAGGTGTGTTTTGGACATAGGGTATTTATTAATGTGTATATATTTCACATATATTAGTATATATATACTAATGTGTATATATTTCTGTATTTTAGGTGTTTTATTTATTTAAATTTTTTTCCACTATCTGTACAGCACTTTTGTAAGCCTAAGCTGTTTTAAATGTGCTCTACAAATAAAGATTTGATTGATTTGATGCGTGCAAAATGTATACAAGGGACTGTTCTACACATTTTGATGCTATATATTTCTCCAGCATATTTACAAAATACAATACAATTGATGCATTTATATTTCATTTAATCACAAATCCTTTTTTAATAGTTGGAAAAAATAGATTTTTTTTTTTATTCATGAAAAAAGTTTGTTAAAAATTAAAAGAAACAATCAAGACTAAAACGTTATTACTAAGTTGAAAATACATAAAAGTATATATGTTCTTTTTAGCACACCTCCAATGCTATCGTCATACGCTTATGTTCAGACCGACTATTTAGTAGTTGGACAGAATATTGACCTTTTGATATCTCAGTTAAGGAAATGTCATTTTGCCGTCTCAGTAGAATTTAAGGAATTTAGTTCTTCCATACCCGACAATAGTAAATTAACAATGTTACTACCTTGACATGTTTCAATATGACAGACATTTCAAATTGGATGTTTTGGGGAAATTTTCATCTTTCATATATTTTCTGGTCAAATTATTAGTTCAATCCAGCGTACTGGTCCAAACAACAATGATAGAACTAAACACACTCATTTATTGGTCCACTTCACAACACAACAGCTGCACAGAGCACATGTTGTCCTCCGTACAGTACAGGCATCTAAACAAAGAGCCGTATGATTGGTTTAGTTTTTTTTCTGTCAAAAGTATCTTTTGTATCTGCATTTCAATCAAAACAAGTCAGCATCTGTTAGTTGGGAGCTATATCCAATTATATACTGTATGCTTATACTGTACATCCACATCCAGTATACACCATAGGACCATATGTTCGTTAAATTTATTTTTTTATCCTTTTTGTCCTTTTATCTTATTTATTTCATTTATTTTTATTTTTATTTTTATATTTATACATATATACACACACAGTTTTTTCCTATTTGATTTTTAATGATTTTGCTGTTTTAATATGTATTTTTATTAATTAGTATTTTATTGTGCAGCACTTTATGAAATGTGTTATATGAAGTGGATTGGATTGGATTAAGTAAACTTATGCTTCAAATGACGTGATGGTGTTAGTATTATTAAAAATGTTGGCCCCAATATATTTACTCATATGGTGGTTATCTGCCACATTGTGTATTCTTGTTAGAAGTGGTATCGCCTCTTGAAAAAAAAACAAGCCAACCTTTGCATGTCGATAATTCAATTTTTCATCATTTTTTTGTCGACCATTCATTTCATTGACAGGATTATAGAAAATAATCTTTTGGTTAGATAGAAGAAATCATTTGCCTTTTGCTCCTGTCCTGTTCCTTCACTTTAGCTTGGTTGACTCAATTTGCACATAATACATATTTAAAATCAAATTACACAAAGCCAGAACAGCCTATTCATGCTCCAAGCTCTTTGCGATAAGGATAACCGCCGCTCCTCATATTTCTACTTATTCCAGATTCAAAGTCTTGAAGCTTTATTCTAACCTGCGCCTTATAACATCTCCAGCGACTACAGAGGAACCATTGTTAGTCTTTGTGTTAACACTAGCTTCTGGCAGCGCTCGCAAACACAAATTAAAAAAGGACCAATTTGTCTAGAGTTAAATCTCGAACGCAAAGTTAATTAGACCTCGACTGGATGGGAAAGCCAGCCGACTCGCCCCAGTCTCACTTGTTATTCCAGTGTATAGCGAGAATTTGATTAGAAGGATCACAGGCCGCCATCATCAGAGGGTATTTTTAAGACTGGGCTTTGGCAGGCAGATCATGGGGAGCGGCTATATACCGTAGACTCCATTAACCCAAAAGGACACGGTGGATAAAAATGTCCGCAGCAGCTGGAGGGACAAACTTAGAGCACTGGAAACATGTAACGTGATGACAAACTTTACCCGCGTCCGAAATGACCGCAGACGAGATGGGGCCAACGCGATCAAGGGCTTTTGTTCAGATGCTGACTGATAGATTGTGGTAAGTGGAGGAAAGAATGACATTGTGCTGTAGTGTAATAAACGTGTAGGGGTTTAGGAGTCCTCAGAGATTACCACTTCTGAAGTTTTCCTTTGTGGATGTAGATGGGTCCAAAGACAGCGATGATCCAGAACACATGGGCATTGATTATCTGGCAACCCTATAGACCAATGGCTTCTATTTTATCCCTCTGGCTTTTCAGAGTTTTTCCTTGCCGTTGCATGAGGGTCTAAGGACATGGTGATGATCCAGGACACTTGACATTTATCAACATTTATGGACTATATCGGCATTTATGGACATTGGTCATCTACCCCTAATGGACCAATGGATCTAGGTGTTTTCATCGTTATATTTCTTGGGTTTTAACTGTTTGATTTGCTAATCTGTGCTGACCAATCGACGGCTTTGTAAAGTCCTCCAATATTGCTGCTGTTGTAATCTACACCTATACAAAATAAATTGAATTCAACTATGCAGAACAAGTCTTGAGGAATGGGCGAAAGTAATACAGTCAAGGCATCTGAGGAAACTACTTTTGCTAATTTGAGTACATAAAGGTCATTCTTAGAACGTTACATTGACCTGGAGAAATAAACTAGACATGCAACTAGGGACGGACATTGAGAATTTGCCTGGGCTAAATAGTTTTAACATGAAATTGACACATAACACATGTTTGTCCCTCTCAAATAAACACAAAAACAAGTAATAATCAACTTTATTGGCTATATTTATGACACTGGGAACATTGTAGATTTCCCAACAACAAAATGATTGAACCACCACCAGTCTTCAGATTGGTTTTAAGACAAGTGTATTACAAGACAATGCAATCATTCTATTTGAAAGATGTTTTGATCTATTTGATAGTTCTCGAAGTGTAGTAAATGTAAGTGGCTTGGTCAGTTGGTCTTTCATACTACCAATATATTGTAAATGCCTGACATATCTCCCTTATGATTCAAAACAGTAACATTGCGAAGGTAGTGGTGGCTGTACCGTAGAATAATTTAAAAAAAAGATTGACTTTATTACTGGTATTATGGCTTGTACTAAACGTCACTTGACCTGAGGTGGACGCATCACTGAGTCCTTAATTAAAGCATATAGATTTCAGCCCAAGGCCCTGATTTCTATTCTGAAAAGGCAGGTTGCATATTAATGAGACATTAAACATGCTGAGGATATCTCAAGCTGGACGCGCTGCAGACAAGATGGCCTCTGTCGGGGTCAGGCTCTGGGAGGATGCGCCCGGAGCCGAACATGTCGTGCGAGATTATGTGGAAGAGGCATGTGGTGCTAACCTTGGGGCTGGCACCTTATCCCGGTTACCCTGTGAGTTAGGGCGAAGAGAGCTGCAAAACAAACAGCCAAACAGACAGCACAAACAAAAGGTTGCAGGCCGTGTTGGCTTGTTAGAGGGCAACGCAAATTGACAAATGCATACACACACACACACACACACACACACACACGCTCTGCAGTTCTGGAGACACACCTATTCCCAACATGTGAACGAAAGGGGATTTCATTTTTTTTTTATATATTGATTTCATTCATTAGAGAAAATTCATTATGTATTTTTTGTGAATAAACAAAAGGGTCTTTTACAAACACCTGGAGCAAAAACGACAGGTAATTAAGCCCACAGAGTGCCTGGATACAGATGAAACTCGGGAAAATTTGAATATTTTCCAAAAGTTTATTGGATTTTATTTATTTAATTTATTTCTGTAATTCTTAGTTTCACATTTTGAAAAACTTAAATAGTGAAACTAATATACTATAGACTCATTTACATGCAAAATGTGTCAAGCCTTAGTTTGTTACATTCATTTTATAATATTCTAACTTGTGAGTCAATTATCAATATTATACCAAATAAATATCTCACTTTGCGTGTAATGAGTCTTATATTGGTTTTACATTGTACGTTGAATTACAGAAGTAAATTGACTTTTGAACGATATTAAACATTTCTGAGTTTCACCTGCAGAAAAAAAAACCTAAGTTTGAAAGAGGAATTCCTTAAACAGTATTAGCCCGTTGTTATATTCCAGTAAAAATTGCTGTATTATATGTAGATGACAGTCTGCAAGCGTATATATACTGTATATATATATATATATATATATATCAGAGAAAATTTATAAAGAATAATGTGGGGCAAACGCATACCTTTGCAGATTTATTTCCATTCTGCTACATTTGGGACTTGTTTGCTTTGAGATTATAGACTCATCTTGGTTTAAATTGGTGCAGCTATCTTTCTAAGATCTAAGATATGACTTCAAAGGGGAGTTTAGGCAAACAATTTGAATCATTTTATTCAGGACTGTATTTCCACTATAGAGACAAGAAAAGCATGGACTCAGCACAAAGCCGGTGACCAAATGTGAGGTATTACTCTGTGCCTTCATCCCTCTCTTGTTAGATTGAATTACTAATTCAAAAGGCTGGTCTTAAGCCTGTCCGCACTATTGATAGAAACAAAGACTGCACTCAATCACCGCAAATCCCACTCTCCAATCCACCATGACTTCTGAGGAAATGATCATGAACCATCTATTTAATATGGAACTGATATTCAACAGTAATCCTCAAGATCTACGATTGTCTTCCACCGGAGTCTTTTATTCTCATTATTCACTAAAGACCAATCCAAAATATCTGCCACTGACATTATGCAGCGACTCCTTCTGTCAGACTCACCTTTCTGGGCCTAATATGTTTGTTCTGAAACATGAGTAAATCAAGATTTGAACACCCACTGTTTACTTTGGAATGCGCTGGAAACAACAGCAAGTCTTAAGTAACTCTGAAATAGTTGTTTTTATTGTGCTTTACAATTGTTATTTTTTTTCTTGATTTTTATGTAAATTGGAGTGCTCGTCTATTGTTGTCTTACGGTAACGTTGCATTCAGTAGCCTACGCAGCAGTATCTACCACCTAAGGATGTCTACTGCCAGCTTTGTATGGGAGCATTTTAAAAGACTCGAAATCAATACGCAAAGTGCATGTTGTGTGACCGGATTGTCAGGTGTTCTGGGGGGTCGACAAGTGGATTGCGCAGACATTTAGAATCTCAGCAAAGTTCCTGAAGAAAGCCCATCAACAAAACGTCTGAAAACGCTAGATGGCTACTTTAGCAAAGATAGCAAGTCGCTTGGTGAAACACTAGCGGAGATGGCAGCTTTTGATGGATTTACGTTTAATATTATACATATTTGAGTGATATCATACATTACTTGAGCTAAAAACAACAACTACAAAAAACGGCTATTAAATACGTCGTCTTTTCTCCTGGATTTGATACATCTCATTCTCGGGGAAAATATTAGATACAGTACCGTGTTCATGGTTTTGCACTGGTCCAGACTGGAGAGGAGAGGATTCATGGTTTGAACCAAGTGGCTCGGCCAAAAATCCACCGGATCCCCTCCGCCCTGCGGTCACTGTCTGTCACTGACCAACACGTACACGTCTTATTCGAGACCGAGGAATACAGCACTGAATTAATGGTCATACTGAATTGTGTAATAACTAAGCTCTCAGTATTGTGCAGTGTTCTATAAGGTGAGGTTGGTACTTGTGAGTTTACCATCTTTACCCTCTGTCCTTGTAGAAAGCTGCTGTATTGTGCGCTCTTACTGTAGGAGCTGTGTGCACATTGTAGAGAGCAGCTCAGGCCTTCTGTGTCCCTGATCCATTTAGTTCAATTTCTATTCAGTTCAATCTCTGATGACCGCCGACCTGCTGAGCCACAGACAAAAGACTGACTTCTGCTGCTGCATCATGGACTCAATTCACAATACAAGGCCATTTGCCTCTTTTTTATGAAAATGTTTTTACCCCCACTGTGCACTAAAAACATGCAGAAGGTACAATGGGCTGTTCTAATATGCTACTTTAATGTAAATTGTTATGTAGGCATGCCTTTTTCTATTCTATACCTTTTAATTTGTTTGCACCAAGATTCAAAGCAATAGTTTGTGTTTTCTTGTTACTCACGTGGCAATAAAATAATTCGGATTCGGATTCTAACAGCCTATTGTCACATTACAGCACAATTAGCAAGCAGCCTCGAACATATATTACCATTACTATATGTATATAATAATGATGCTATAATATAATATATGCATATCTAGTAAATATCTGAATTCTGAGCATTGTAAAGCGCTTTGGGTGACCTTGGTCTCTAAAAATGTGCCATATAAATAAAGATGACTTACTTACTTACTATCATTTTATCACTTTAATGCCTGTATATAAAGTTTTTACAATGCTAGTATTCCAACATAGCATTGAATATGTGTAATGCTTAGCGTGGCAGAAACACAGCTGGTTGGCGGTGGATCCTGGTGTATTACTCTGCACTGCTCCACCTGCTCTCTTCACCCACTTTTCACAACAATCACTTCTGACTTTACACTCGCTTTCAAGATTTGACTCCTTTTATCGCTATCCAATGCTATTTTGGACAAGTAAGCTTTAAAAAAACGTCCTCTAAGTCGATCTATTAAATTCTTTTCTTCCCAGAGTGGAGCTACACAAACTGAACTCCAATCTCCCACAAGTCTCAGGAAGTGCCTGCATCCAGCTATGATTACACCAACCCTTTAGCTTTCTCTCTCTTTCTCTCTCTCTCACTCACTCTCCCGCTCTAAGGTTTAGAGCCCCTTATTGTTGAGATGGTCGAGCGATTGTAGTGAGGAGTCGGGGATTCTGGGGTATTTGGGAGCATTAGGGCCAGCGGGGAAGAAAATGGTATATACAGTTGTCGATATATTGAAGGATGGACTAAAAATAACAGGAATGGGTGAGACTCCAGGACAACACACAAACACACACATAAACATACACACTATCAGGTCACACACTTCTGTTTGGCTTCTCACAATGGAACAATGGAACACACTTAGTCTGTTTTGTATACACAGCTGATTTGGTGACGGATGCCGAACGTGGGGCAATTTGGACTCAAATACCAAAACATTAAAGCAGTCTATTTTAGCCAATAGACTTGGACAGATATTTTTGAAGAGCTAACAGTTGTATTTGTGCTGGTTTGGAATGCTTCTCTGCGGAGATGATTCATTTCTTTGTTTGCTTACAGTGTTTCACAGTATGAAATTATATCTCCAATTCAAGTTGAATGTATTAATCAGCCCATATTGTTCCATTTAAATCCGTAAGTAGCGTGCACTTGAAAAGGTGCTTAATACATTCCATGCATTGTTTTAAGTTGCATTGTTATCATATTTTCTTGGTTAAGAGACCTAACTCCCATCACACTTTCATAATGTAATATAGAAAAGCTGTGATGTTCAATGATGACAATGTAAACTGTATTCCATGTAGGGCTGGGCGATATGGCTGAAAACTAAATCACAAAATAAGTAATTCATATCGGTCAATAACGATATATATTGATTGTTTTTTATTTTTTTAACCTAAATAAATACATTTGCCGTGTGGGCTAAAACAAGTTAGCAGCACTTGTTTACTGTACAGTCATGAGGGAATGAGGCTGGAGGAAGATGTTCACACTGTGTCCCCCATAGTTAGCCCTGGTTTAATCCTGGTTTAATCCTGGTTTAATCCTGGTTTAATCCTGGTTTAGTCCTGGTTTAGTCCTGTTTTGGCTGTTTTCGAGGGTCATGTGTCCCCGTGACGGCTCCGTGTGGCCGCTCTCTGATAGCCGCGTGTGCTTCCAGAGGAAAAAGTTCATCTCTTGCTTTCGTGGAATGCATCGGCTCTCTGTGTCCACTGCCTCTCCCGCCGCACATGTTATTCCACGCACGGACATGCATAACCATTGACACGGCATTGAAAAACAATCTATATAGAGATCCATGGACGCTACGCATGGTGCGGTTGTTCTTTTTTGCATTTCCCAGAATGTTTTGCGATTACTGCCCGGCTGTGTTAGGTCGAGAAGTCTCTGCTCACATCCCCCAGAATGCCGCGCGCTTCTGACTCAGCTTTACTTCCTGTGTTTTCTATCGAACATTCTGTCGACCCCGTTTTCTACTGATATCGAACACGTGTCTATTGCGATATATATTGTTATGTGATTAAAGATTACATAAATGTTCTTTTGAATGCGCTGGAAAACGGCAGCAAGTCCTAAGCAGCTCTGAAACAGTTTTTGTTTTTTTCTTTACAAATTTTTTTTTTCTTGCTTTCTTCTACCTGAGATGTTGCTGCAGTACAGTGTTCATGGTTTTGCACTGATCCAGACCAGAGCAGAGAGGATTGAAACAAGCGGATCAGGTGAAAATCCACTGAAGGAATGCTACATTTTTGAAAATGCTAATGAAGCCTTTAGCATTTTACTTTGGACCAGAG